GCTGTTTGGGTTATAAATAATCTCTAAGTTAACTGAGAATACATTTGCGAGGGGAAATAGCAATGTGGTTTGCTATTAACAAAATGTATCCTTTTTTTTTTTCTGACATGAACGAGGTTGCAAATCGGTGCAGAGATCTGTGGAAATACGTTGGTGAGCACGCCCAGATTCTGTAGCCTGAACAACCATCCCCAGTTGGATGCTGTCTCACAGCACTTGAGAAAAACTTTGTGCTTCCCAGCAGGCTGGAATGACACCAACTGTGGCAAGTGACAAATCCTTTCCCAGTTTTACCACATTATACATGCACTGAGAAGAAAAAAAATGATTTCAAACTTTTAATTTTTAAAGTTAGTGTAATTTTCAGTCAAGATGTGACTCAACCAAAAAGTCAACATACAACTCAACAAAATGCCTCTTGTTTGTAACAGTGGCTTAAGGATGTGACTTCTTAGTATCCGGGAAATTCATGCTTCTTCTCGGCCCTGTTAGCAGAGGTCAGTGACAAATGGGGTCATTAAGTCTCTAATGACGGGGAATATGGGCTGTGGGGGCTTTAATGTCCAAACCACTTTCACCCACGTTTGAAATGTCTCTCTGCTGCTTACAGATGAGACATCTGCTTGTCTGCATCTGTGGATTGGGAAACAAACGTGTCTGATTTTTCCTGAAGTGAACACACCGCTGTGTCTTTCTTGCAGAGAAACTGAGGGAAAGATAAATCTTAATGGATCTTATAATAATCTAGTATAGTGCAGTGTTCTTTGCCTCCTGACATGCCTTGTACTGGCCCCTCGTTGATACTTTCTTCCTCATACTTTGGTATCTATGTAACCTGTCTACATCAACCAGGACCCAGCTAAAAGGCCCACAAAACCATCTTGTAAGACTTGCTCACATCATATTAAAATCACTGGTTGTGTGTGCCTTCCTCAAAAACAACCCTGTAAATTCCTGTGGTGGGACCTGGTGTTTTATTCACAGCTACCCTCTGAGCATAGCATAGTGACACCAAGCTCCCCCCCTCCCAAAAGAAAGCAATTCAGGATAGATTTAAGCTGGGCTGGAAACTGGAAGGACTGCAGCTCTGGTTGTTCTGACAGGTTATTTGCTTTTCGGTTAAGATTTTATCTCTACAACCAAGAATGGCAGACACTTGTGCTCACAAAGCAAAGAAAGGTATAAACCCGGAGCTAAAACAAAGCAGGTTTTTGGACTTGTTAGCTTTCATTGATGGAATGTACTGATAAATAGCAACTTGGTGCCGGCGATCTTCCACTGAAAGTTGAGTTAGTCAAAAGATAGATGCTGGAGTTTGTCAACGTCAAAACAACAGCTTCTTTTTGACTATCGGGCATTACCAGACACTTAGTAGTTACCAGTATCAAATGGGTTGATGTCAGCAACACGTTATATTGGATTTCTTAAGCAATGAGAGGCACATGCGTCCAGTTATGCGTTTTCTGAAAGCTGTCTTCTAAGGAACAGCGACGCTCCATTTCTTCATTCTAAGATGTGTCTCTGTATTCAGCACAATCACATCCATAAATCAGAGCAACCAAGTGCTCTCCTTTGAAATGAAGTCATTTCTGGAGATGCTCACCTAACTCCCAGCTTTCCTGTCTTTGTCCGGGATCCTCAATTCCTGTTCCACACCTGGGCCTGGCAACTGGCTGCTTCCTTTGTTACTGGGAGTGACTCCTGACCTCACTAGGACTCACTCTCAGGGATCAGAAGCATAGCTAGAGACAGGTCCAGGCTTATGACGCTCCGTATATCACAAAGTAACACACTTGATTGGTAAGGCGATGTATTTTCTGAGCGTCGAATCTGTCAGTGTCCCAATTGTCACAAAAAGCCGTAGCATAGCTGGCATTAGTAAAGGGGGCATGATGAGAGCCCACTGAACGTTGAACAACAATGCATTTTCAGATGGCAGAAGCTTTGAAAGGCCTCTGGCTCTGGGGAGACAATGAGATCACCAGGATGGTGGTAATTCCCGAGAGGATACAAGCCTCTCGCTAGATCACCAGGGTGGTAGGCCTTGGTAACTCCTGGAATGCTTCAGCCCTGACTGAACTCAGTCCTAGCCCTGACATCATGATGGCCATGTGGCACACAGTAAATACGAGTTTTATCTGATTTTTGGTTTCTTTTTTGGCCTTTAGCAGGAAGCTGTTTGACTGAATTTGGGTTGTCCAATTTGTGGAGACTTAGTAAAAAAAAACATAGTATCTATATCCATTTAAAGAAACTCATCTCATTTTGAAGATAAAACAAACAAACAAACAAAACAACCTCAGAGACGAGTCCTTTGAAAAGGAGGAGTTTCAGAACGCATTCAGAGCTATTGTCATTCAAAAAGTTAGCATAACCTCAAATTCTTAACTCTTGATTTTAGCTCCTCCAATAATATAATAAAGATACCCCCTTCTATACAAAACAAAACCAGTTACTATTGCACTTACATTTTATTTGTTATGAATGAGGAAAATATCATCCTTATGCTACAACCATTAGTACACGATTTCATTTGTAATTCAGAGGGAGGTAAATTTTGTGCCTGGGCAAAATACTATATAATTAAAATACAAGTTCGTATACTTAATTTGCATTGATATTGTAAGGAGGGTTTTGCTTTAACTCCTTCGGTTCAAAAAATTAAAAAAATCCATCCTTTTGAGAAACCCCCAGTGACTAGAAACTGATGGAGAGCAAGTTTGTGTGGAGTGAGCCCTGGATCTTGACCTTGGGTCTTTCTGACGGATGGACACCGCTACCTCAGGCGCTCACAGGCCTTTCGGATGTGCCAGGCTTCAGTAAACAAAACGGGAACAAATGGCAGCCAAATGCAGTGATGGGTTTTGGGCGCTCACCCGATGTTACGTAACACCATGGTTCTGTGCCACGAGACTGCAGCCTTGCTCAAGGCTTGCCTTCTGAGGATCTATCTTTCCTAATATCCCTGAGTTACTAAGACTTTTCTATACAACAAATCTGCCATTGTCCCTAACAACTGGCTGGCAAATTTAGGCTACTGATTACTTTTCTGAATTTTGCTTATGTAATGGTGCTTAACATTTAGTGAAATTTTTACATGCCAAGAATTGTTCTAAGTCCTTTAAGCATATTAGTTTATTTAGCCCTGACTTGAATAATTAATCCTATGAGTCAAATGCTATTATTACTGCTATTCAACAGACTCGGAAACCCAGGCAGTGTTATATAAGTCCTGGAAGTCACACTTCGGGCCACTGTGCTCTTCTGATTAACACACTGGGTTCTTTTTTAAACCTAAAATTATTCTGTGAATAAGAAAAGAAGGCCATATGAAATAAGTCTACTTTAGGGGTTGATGCTGTTACAAATGACACTAATGAAACATTTACAGCACTGTCTATGTGCCAAGCCTGTTACAACAACTTCATTCGTAGATTAAATCATTCCTTCAGGACTCCATCCCCTTGACATTGATCAACAGAGACTGATGTGTTATTTACTCTGATCAATATCAATAAGCCACAAATACCAGTAACTGAAGTCAATTGTTTGGGCTGAATTTCCTGGTTTGTAAAGGCAAAAATTGATTCTATCCATCCGTCTTTTGTTAGACCAGGCCGGAGTAACTTTACAATTTGTTAAATGTCATCATGTTGCATTTGAGGACTGGAAACAGCATCGAAGACTATCAGAGTCCCGTTTTAACTCCTCAGTAACAAGCTCTCCAAGGGCAGAAGGGAGATACAGTGTTACCAGAGGTCTCATTGCCTTTGTTTGTCTATTGCTTGTTAAAAACTCACCTTTGCTTTATAGAAAAGTTCCATAGGGTAATCCAGAGATTCAAAGCCGGTTATTACCTTAATGCATATAGTCTGAGAGAACACTAGGTCCACTTACAATTTATTACAGAAAGTTGCACTAATGGAAGTTTATGGAATGTATCACTCTTTGCTAAGTTGTATGTGCAAACAGAAGATTGTATCCAGCCTGAATCCAATACTCTGAATTTAAGTTAAGCTTTTAGAGCTGAAGGGGATCACAGAGATTACATCATTCACCAGAGGCCGTGGAGGGATTAAGGGATTTGCCTGTGGTTCTGCAGATAATGAATAACTACCCCAGATTGCAGCAGCCTGGGATGAGGCTTGATCAGCTGCAGGGCACAGGATGCATCACAATGGTAATAATGTGCCGGTAGCCCCTGTGTTAACCCAAGTACATCTGGAATTCTACTGTACTCTGTGTGCCAGACCCTGCTCTTTCTCCCCACTCTGGGCTTGTTCTCCTTAGAGCCCAGTGGGTTTTTTAAACCTCATCCTACAGATCTGATGGTGGGGGGGGGCCTGTTTCTCTAAGAGCTTCACAACTAGCAAATGCAGTCAGCTTCCTCTGTCCTGAATCCACTCACCTACTGCAGCATGACTGGTCACTCATGAAGGGCAATACACCTGTCACCAGCTTTTCTCCGAAAGCAGTGTTTCTATCTTCTGCAATGAGTGCCACACTCAGAGGAAGAGGGATTAGAGCTGTAAATTGTTTTCTGGTCTTGACAATTGACAACAGATGTAATGTAAACGATTCCTGAAATATGACAACACTACCATGTGGCTTACGTCAGCCATAAGAAGATACAAGGCCGTGAGCCTGAAATGGAGATCAAATGAGAGAGACACAGGAGTGGGTGGAGAGGGATCTTGTGACCTGGGCACCCTTGCAAATTAACCTTGAGGTTAACTATAAGCACTATAGGAAATTAGTGCTTACTCAAGGTTCTATCCTACTTAAAAGAGAAACTCCCATGGGCCACACACTACCCTATGTTAAAAACTCAAACTGGAAATGGATTAATGCACTCACACTTGTACTGACCCTCTGTCACTTTGGAAGAAGGTGGCTACAGTCTTAAGCGATGAATATTTTGGATTTACGAGAGAAATTGGTAAATGTTTACTGTGCTCTAGAATCATTAGTTTCCCCAGGTAAAACAAAGCAATGTTATGTTTAACGGTTTGAAAACTTTTTATTTAAAAAAGAAGAAAGACTTTAAATACTAACGTTACTTTCCATACAGGTGTAATAATACTCAGTAACGCTCGGTGTACGTGGTATTGTGAGTTTAGGGATGTAGCAGTCCAGTCTAGATGCTGGCGCCCTCCAGTCTTCACATACCCTGGTAGCAAAATGCAAATATCCTTTTTTAAAAATAGAGTAATTTGGACAGCCATAGCGCAGAGTAGGGTTAGGCAAGGGAACCCACTCTTGAATGCTCATGCTTTAGGCTTTGACTTCACCTAGAAAGGCCAGTTCTAAGAGAACTGAGGAACTCTTCTAGGCTCTTCGAGAAGAGGAGAATCAAAAGCTTGCCACTCATTCACAAGAAGCTATGAACAAAGTTAGCAGCAGAGCACAGGGGTGAGGGAAGTTGGGGGGGCAAAGAAAAACTGGAGTAAAGTGCAGAGTTACTGTCAAAAATATATTATTTGGAGCCTAAGAAAATTAAGAGAATTTCATCTAACGGACTAGATTGTGACCTTTTAATACATTTGGTTTTCATGGGACGTACGATCACCATCGGACATAAAAGGACGACTGCTTTTTCTTAAAATAAAAAATTGCTTGGGTTATCTACAGGGATTTTGTGAACGCAATTCAAGGATAACATTCTGCAGCTCTTTGGATATTGAATGGTTTCCTCGAACCTGCCCACGTGGAAATGGGTTGGGGTTAATGTAGGGGTTCCAGTGGGACTGTCTCTCCTTTCCCTGTCCCCCTCTCCCTAGGCAGAAGAGTTTTCCAGTTCCGGGTCCTCTACTCCTGGGGTGTGAGACCTGGAAATCAGGAAGAGTTTCTCCTTGTTTGTAAACTGCCTCTGCAGGGACAGAGGCTGCTCAGCCCTAGGTGTCTCTGAACTGGGACCCTCCGGGGAGCTAGGCTCCGTACCCGGATCCTTGGCGTCCGCACAGTCTGGCCTTTTCCTGGCCGCCACGTCCACGACCGACTCCACGGAGGTGTCGGCCTCCCTCAGGGGCGAGTAGCCCTTATTGCTGCAGGACTGCTCAACCGACTGAGAGCTGGGAGAGTCCCGACGGACCCGGGGCGAGTCCTCGGGGCGCAGAGGGAGCGAGGGCGTGGCGGCTGTATCTGGAGGACGGGAGTCCAGGTCGGCCGACCGCGGGGAGGGCGGGGGCTCCGGCGAAGGCTGCGCCCGGTAGTCCAGGAGCCCGCTGGTGCTTCGGCGCCGCCAGGCTGCGTACCTGCCGGTCCTGGGCAGGCGACCGCCCTGCCCCCTGGCGGTGCGTGCTGTCGCCGCGCCTTCCGGCTCCTCCAGTTCACTGGACGCCCAGCGCGCCCTACAGTCGGTTCCCCGGAGGTCCGTCAGACTCAGATCCAGTTCTTCCCTCGGGAGATCCCGGGAGCCGCGTTCCCCGGGCGGCCTGTGCCAGCTGCAACTTGCTCCCTCCGAGTCCCCGTCTCTATCCCGGTCCCCTTGCAAAGGCAGCAGCGCGAAGGCGCTCAGCGAGGAGCCCACGAGGGAACTGGCGGTGCTCTGGCGCCCCCAACTCCCGGTTGGGCTGCAGGGCGCCGGACTGCTGCTGCCACTGGCGGCCGCGGTGACAGTGGCAGTGGTGGCCGCAGCCACCGCGGCAACTGTGGTCCGGCGACGGCCAGCCCCGCTGGAGCGCTCGCGGTAGATGCTGTACACCGCCTCGGCCAGGCTCGGGGGCTCCCGCGGACAGCGAGGAGATGAAGCCAGGTCCGGCGGGGACCCTGCATCCCGAGTCCCGCCGCCGTCTCCTCCCAGCCCGGTGGGGTGGGGCCATGAGCCTCTGGCCAGCATTGCAGTGGCCCCGAAGGCGTCCGCAGAGCCCGTGCAGCTGCCAGGCTTCAGCTCCAGGCCCCGGGATTGCACATAGCTGAGAAAACCATTGAGCGGCACTGCCCTGGGGGGCGCAGAGCCGGGGGCGGCGGTGGAGGAGGAAGCGGCGGCTGCGGCAGCTGCAGCTGCTGCAGCTGCCAGGTCTTTGGCGCGGAGGCTGTGCACGTCGATGACAGTCGAGTAGAGGTCCCTCAGGTTGATGATCTTGGTCTTCTTGTCCCTGTTCTCGTGGAGCACCGCGTTGGCGCAAATGAAGAGGAAGATGCCGATGCCCATGATGAGGGGCCCAAAGACCTTGAGCTTGTCAGAGTGCAGATAGCCTGAGACGATTCGGAAGAAGAAGCCCACCGAGGAGGAGGAGGTGGAGGAGGAGGAAGAGGATGTGACTGCAGATCTAGTGGGAGGCGAGCTCCTGGGCCCGCCCACAGAACTGGAGTTGACACCTCCTGGGGTCCCAGAGTGGCTCTTGGTCGGGTTTTTTCCGCCACTGCTGCTGTTGCCAGGGTTCCCAAAGCGATGGCTACCCCCCGCAGGCAGCAGCTGCTTGTTGCCCCCTCTGTTGGTTGAGCTGGCCTTTGGCCAGTAGCCCACCACGGCCATGGCTATGCCCACCAACAGCACCAGGATCCCGCAGAGGGCGATGAGCCCCGAGATGGAGCACAGGTTCAGCTTGCCTTTCACCACCACCACGTCGTTCTTACGCCTCTTCTTGGTTTTCCTCTTGCGCTTAGGGACCTGGCTGGGGGGCCGGAGGGGATCCTGCTTTCGGGCGGATATCCTCAGTAGGCCACCGGTGGCGATCATGGCGAACCGGTCTGAGGAGTTCAGGGCTAGCCCCTAGGCCTGGGGCTGAAGCTTGCTTGTGTAGGGGGAGCGCCAGCTGCCCTCTAGCTGCCTGGTCACCTCCTCCTGCTGCCTGCGGCAAAGCAGAGGAACACAGTCAGAGGGTGTGGGCATTGGCTGCAGCAGCCGCAGCCCACGTGCCAGGATTGCCCCTGCTCCTGGGTTCAACTACCTACTCCGGGGGTGTCTCCACCCACCTCAAGGCCAAGTGCTGTCTGTGTACACAGACCAGACTCGGGTCTGTGTTAGGGAAGGGAGAAGCGGCTGGAAACAGTTTGGGAAAGAAAGCGTTCACCCGGCCCCCCACATCCTCCAAGAGTGACCTCCTGGTGGTACTGTTCATCTGAAAGCCTCCTGGCTGGCAGCCAGCGGAATTCCTACCATCCTTATAAACGCAGTGGATGTGGAGCTCAGAGTAGTGCTTGAGGACTTTCCTGGTCAGCGCCTTTTTTTACTTTTTATTTATTTATTTATTCACCCTGCCTCTCACTGCAATGGAAAAGTTTCCCAGAGGAGGGTTGCCTCTGGAGTGTCAGGTCTCCGAGCCAGGAATTTGCCCACGTGGGCCCCAAGTCACTAAACAGTTCTGAAAGTTAGTACCGTATAAAAAGAAAGGAATTCATTTCCCAGGATGAGAATGAAACTCCAAGCACTGCCAGGGTGGCTTGCTTGCTCATTACTCAGAGGGAAAAATCTCAGAGATGCTGCTTCCGACACCCACAACAAATCTCTCAATAAAGTTGACCCCTGGCCACTCTCGTCCTAGGGCAGTGGGCAAGCAGAGCCCCCTCCCAGTCCCCTCATGGCCACTCCGCAACATCTGGACAGCTTCTTAGTGTGGAATATTTCCTTTTAGGTAACCATTATGTAACCACGCTCTTCCTTTCGGGTTTCTCTCCTCCCTGGAGGAGTTCCCTACAAAGGTATCCTGTGCTAGATTTCATCGGGGAACCTGAGAAGTCCTCTGGAATCCTGTTAAGAAATGCCTTTCTCTTATGTGGGAAAATGACAATCTTCAACAACAACAACAATAACAACAACAGAGAATTCTGCCTTAACAGCTTCCCGGCCCTTTATTAATGTACCAACAATATTCCATAGAACCCCAGCATTCAAATGAACAGGCAATTACCTAGGTAAAGCAGTCTACATAATGATGATTTATTGGAAGGTATTTCCACTCACAAAAGCTGTTCTCTTCGTTCTTTCCTCTGGAGGTCATTTTGAGGAAGAGGAGTGGTGGCAGCAGTGGCCTAGCTCTGGGAAGCTCTTTGGGTGGTTGGCTATACACACAGTCTGAGTAGGTACAAGAAATGATGCCTGTTAGTGCTTATCTGTCAGCTGTGAAAAGTCCCGTTCTGCTGGGTGGGTCCCTGGGGGGTGCATTCTCTGTTCCATGGTTTGTGTTCCCTCCTGTAATAGAGATGCTAAAATTGAGGGCATTGTGCGGCTCTTAAAGATACAGATGGCCATCCCAGGCCTTTGAGAGTACAAGCAGACTCCTTCAAGACAAGTTCATGTAGCAGTAAAATAAAGTATCCTTTGAAAAATGTAAGTTACTTGGGTAGAATTTTGCTTTTAATTGGCGCTTGGGTGAATAGGTCTGTTCCTTGATTCTTTCAGTATGTCAATCGTGGTAGGATCTTTTCTCCATGTGGGTAAGCAAATGGCAATCAGGCTTTTATGCTTCTTGCAAATCAGTATCTCTTTTGGAACTTGGTTGGAATTCCATAGAGAAATGCTAAGTTGTTTTTTTTGGGGGGGAGGGGGAAGGTCAATGGTGAGGCTATATATCTGTAAACCTTTAAAATTTGTTTCTTAAAAGGTTCTGTGCCAATAAGTATACACACTGAATAAACATGGCAGACTGCCCCCATGGTTATATTTATTATATGGTTGCAGTATAGATATTGCTGTTTTAACTGCACTGTAAGGCTCCACTGTCTTTAATAATCCTGAGGTCTGGATTGGCTCCGAGAGTCTTTAAGGTCCAGGCGTTTCAGAAACAAAGCCAGCTCAGGGCTCCAGGGTGACTCTCTGAAGAGAGATGGGCAGGCGTTTTGCTGGACACTGATCAGTTGCTCCTCCCCCCCACCCCGTGTTGGATATCTTGGAGTAAGGGACCTTCCTCCTCTGCAAGCTGGCTTTATACCCCGCAGAATATAAGGAAAGTTGGAATGTATTTCAACAATGGTTTACAGAAGATATTTAAAATTAGTTTTTAATAGCTAGCAATTAGTTCCCTGGTTTATTATGCTTGCAGCTCTCTCGACAGCTGAACTCATTTTCAGCGTATCACGATGTGGCACAGAACACTGACAAAGGTCAGGTGCCACGGAAGAGCCCCCTCTGAGCCTTTCCTGAGACCTAAGGAAGGAGAACAAACTTAGCAGTGGATGTCGTCTGCCTTCTCGACCGGCTGCCTGGCGCGAGTCCTGCCTTGGTTAAGGAATGGAGGATGGGGAAATCAAATGAGGGATGTCTAAAAATACAACTGCTTCCAAGAGAGAGATTCAAGTTCTCAGCTCAGGATGGATCGAGCCCGGCGTCAGAGACTCAGGGCCCCATGTTGCGCGCCATACTGTGCCCGGCACCCGCACCAGCACCCGCACCCAACCTAGGTCCTCGACCCCTGGCCCCTGCCCCCCCTTGCTGTGGTCTAGTCACATGAGTGCAGCAGCTGCAAGTCCGCCTCTGGAGGGAGGACGGGCTGGAGCGAAGTGAAGGCAATCCCCAACTCGCCTTTTCTGGGCAGCGCAGCCCTGGTAGCATGCCCAGGAGAAACACCTGGCTGGTAACACCCGCCAAGGGGCCTGGGCTCGGGGACAGGCGGGCTGGTGAAGGGCGATCGGAGGCCGGGGATTGACAGGATTGCTCAAAATGGAGGCACTCTAAGCAAACAATAATCGCTCACTTACCCAGGGAGACCGGGGCAGCTCGGGAGACACAAAGAACCATGGAGAAACTTTTCAGCCCGAGCCGACGACGGCGGAGCGCAGGGACAGCGCCCCGGGGCCCCGGGCGCAAGAGCGGCTGAACAGCTCTTCGGGGACGAAGCTGCGCCAGGGGCTCGAAGTCCCCTCGGGCGCGGTGGCGGGAGCCATTTCCAAGAGTTTCCAAGAAGTGTCAGGTCCTCTGCAGCCTGCGTGCCTCCTGGAGCCCTTCTTCCCTCGGTCGCTCCTCCTCGGCTGCCACTGTCCCCTCCCGTCGCGTTCCCCGCCGGCCCCTGCGGCCGCGCGCTCCCCGGCCTTGCGCCTCTTTTGTGTGGCTGCGGCGCGCCGGGTTCCGCCGGGTGGAGTTGAGCCCGCGGCGGCTGCTCCGGGCGGCCGGACTGGCGGCTGTTGCTAAGAGACCGGAGCCATGACACAGGGAAATTGCGGCAGGATGGCAATGGGTACCCGAGCCGGCTTGGCTCTCGGGGGCTCACCCGCTCCCCGCCCCGCCCCCAGGCTACCCTCCGAGTCCCTCCCCCGCCTGCTGCCCGTCCCTTCGGAAGCGACTTGTCCCCCTTCCCAGGAGGGGCACCAGGAGAGTCGACACCTGCACCGCGCTCTTGAGCCTGGTCGGGGCGCGATCGCGCAAGGCAGGGTGCTGAACTGAACCGTCTGCCTCAGCTGACAGCTTCGTTCCTTTTCTCCCAACTACCTGTGTGAGCAGCAAGCCCAAGAGGATCCACAGAAAGGCCAGCCCCTTCTAGGGAGTCCCCCCATCAGCATCCCGAAGCCAAGGAGTAGTCTCCAGGTTCTTGTTCCTTCTGCCCCTCTCTCTGCTCTCCGTTTTCTTTCATTTTTCTTTCTTTTTTTCTTCCCCCCCCTTTGTATCTCCTACTTTACATGGTATATAGCCTCTAACCCCCCACCCCACCCCACCCGTCCCTACCTACGCTTGGGAGTTTACAGTGTAGATGCCCCCAAGAACACATTAAGTTTTCTCTGCAACGAACCTGGTCCAGGAGGGGCGCAGCGAGATGGGGGAGGGGAGCCCACAGAGCTGGGCACACCACAGGACTCATGAAAAGCTCTGTCAGATGCTATTGCACTTTAGCAGAACCGGGCTATCTATCTTGCCTTAAGGGACCTCAGTGGCTTCCTAGGATGTGGGCAGCTGGGGCTCATTTGAGATTAGAGTAGGCTTGGAGATGCTCCCTTAGGGGGCCCCTGATGCTCCCACTCTCTGAGGTTTTCCAAGCCTTCAAAGGGAAACTCATTCTTCAGGAATGGGAATCAGGGTTAGCATCAAAAAGGAGAGGTGGGGGTAGGGAGGTTGCCCAAACTCCCTACGTCATTTGGAAAGGAGAGAAAAGCAAAGAAACACACACACACACACACACACACACACACAGGCACACACACGGGGAGGGGCGCCTATTTCCCGTCTTCCTTTTCTCAAATGCATAGTAGAGATGACACGGAAAAGAATTTTTGAATGGAATTTCCCCGCTGAGTGTTGAGGAAGTTGGAAAGGTTTCAATGGGTTAATGAAACGAGGTGGCCAGGATTCAGGCAGGGAGGAACAGAAAAGCAGATAAAAACTAAGGCTATCTAGAACTTGGCGTCCAAGCAAGGATATTTGGGTGGTGACGGTAGTGGGTGTTGTTTACTGTTCAAGGGTGTAACAGGACCACTCTTGGAACCGAAGGTCTAGTCTCGAGGTTGTTCTAAAGATGCACAGCATCTCAAGAACACACATGGTGCAGAAGGAACAACAAGGAAACTAAATATGCAGGGTCAATGACACGGATGAGTAACAATCAATGAAGCAGGTGGGGAGATGGGAAGGGATGAAGGGGGTGTGCCTCCAAGAGGTGGGCATCCCCTGAACATTTGGAAGGTGACCTTTACCATCTCTCTCAAGACATATGGACCTGAGCTGTGACTAATTTCCAACCCCATCTCCTTCCATGTTTTCTTAACTCAGCACCAGCATATTAGAAAACAAGTGACAACAAAGGAAACACTTTCTACCCCACAGTGGAATGTCTCCTTTTAGGGAAATCACTTCAAAGCAAAAGCAACTCAACTCCTTCCAGTGGTTTGTTAAAGCCCTTTGGCTCAGAATCCCCTAATTTCTTGAACCCGATAATGATCTGGTGTTTTGTACAAAGACTGGACCCCAAAGCCCCATTTCCTTACAGATCTGACTGCCAAGGACCAAATGGCAACTCCTACTCTCTGTCCTGCTGGACTATATACAAACAGGAATAGCAATTGAAGGACTATATTAAGATTTTAGGTGGATCAAATAGTTAACAGTTTCACTCTCTGACTTCATAAATTATAGCCACTAGGTAGGTGCACACTGAAAACTCACTTGATGGATTGGGGAGGGAAAAAAATCTCTATCTTGACAGAGTGGGGGCTGCGGGGTGTGGTTAGTTGTTTCTTACATTGATGACTAATATTTATGGTTTATCATTTCAAGTCTTCCTTCAAAACTGGGCTCTTCTGGTGCTTCGAACTGCGCCCAGAAACAGTCGTGTTATCACAGTTAGTCATTTTCTTTGTTTTCAGCTCAGGATATCAGAGGAACACCCATCTGTTTGCAGCAGAGTCTTTGTTATCTGTGTAATACACCATTACCCAACATTCCCAGGGCCTTTCCCAATGTGTCAAGGTATGTTTCGAAGCAACAACAAGGCCTTTAGCCCTTCTGGTCTTCCCCCTCTCCCCCTCCCCCCACCACCCCATTTTACTGGCCACTGATTTCTGAGGTTCAAGATATAACTTCCTTCCTGCAGATGACTGAGGGTCCAGTGCCACCAAATTCCCCAATGTCTCAGAATCTAAGGGCCCAGCACAGTACTTGGAAACATGTGATTGCCATGAGAAGCCAAGTGAAGAGGGAAAGGATTAGCTGAATCCCACTGCATTAAACTCTGTTTAAAAGGGGTCGGGGTAGGGGCTTCTAGGAGTGCACGGACTATTACAGTCTTTTGCCCCATCTTCCACAATGTTTCCCAGAGCCTTGGGTACAGCAGCTGTACGGAGTGTTCTCTGCAACCCTAGACAGAGAACTAGAACCTACTAAGGAACCCCGAGGGAGGAAAAGGTAGCATTTCCTAGTGGAGAGATTCCCCAGTCGGTTACCCAATACCAAGTGACCAGCCTCCAATCATACGCATGCAAGTAACATTATAGAGACTGAGCAGGTTAGAAAAAAATCTATCAACAGTGAAAGAAAAGGAGACCATGAATTTGAGGGAGAGCAAAGGAGGGAGCGTGAGAAGGCTTGGAGGGAGGAAACGGAAGAGGGGAAATGTCGTAATGATGCTGTGACTTCAAATCAACCCCTCACTGTAAGATCATCTCATCAGCCTGGACCTACTGGACCACCTGTAGACCTGGGCTCCTCCTCCTTGGCGAGGGTGGTGCTCTCCTGTGCGCACACTCAGACAGGCCTCCTTAGTTTTCAGGAGTCTTCCCGCAGAGGATGGCCTGCTCAAGCCATAAGGTTGGCAGCTCTGCGCACCCCTTCCACTCATCCCCAGCGTGCTTGCTCCTGACATGGAAAGCACATATGGGTTCAGGAGCCAACCTCCTCCACTAACTGACTGCCTCCTTTAAGTAACTAAATCACTTAATCTTGCTCCCCTTAGCCTTCCCACCCACGAAGGGGATAATGACACTAACCCTCATAGTGAGACTGTGATGAGGTTTAATAAATTTAGCTGGGGTAAGCCCATGCTTATTTTACATTGTAAACGCTCGCTCGTTGAACTTAGCTAAGTCCCCCAATGGATTTCACATCTCCCAGCGTGACTCCCTCACTCTCCTTACCATTTACACCATTCACGTTCTCGGGATCTGCACGGGACCCTCTGTGAGTAGGCCCTCCCTGTGCTCCTCCTGAACTGTGGGCAGCGATTCTGCAGACAGCCGATCTGTAGGGTGACAACACCTTCTCCAACATTAGTTAGCGAATTTTATGACTGACTCGGGCACTTCCAATTTCAGTTTATTGAAGTTCGGATTTCAAACCCACGCAACTCTTCAGCCAACATAATAAATGTGTAAGAACCTATAAAACATTCTGCTGGGCAGGGCTTTGAGGGTGTGTGTCATAGTGAAGACTCTCAAACCTCTGGAAGGCGTAACACCAGAAAAAGACAAAATCGTCACCATGGCTAGAGAAAACAAAGCCTCCCATTCCTCTCCATTGTTTCTCGTTCACCCTCTTCGTGCCCCTGACAACAACAGCAGCAGCAGCAGCAAAATGGCAAACAGGCATGGCAGAAGAGTAAAGCGACACACGGGCCCAGAGATGGAGCCTGTAGGGTACCAACAAAAACAATGTTCAGAGTGCACATCCTGTAAGCAACTCCTGCTTCTGAAACCCATTTATGTAATCTAGTTTACCTTCCAGGCGATCTTGATGCATTCTTTTCCATTAAGGCTTTTTTTTTCCCCTCTCACGATACGTATAGACTAGAGACGCCGAGATGTCAGGAACCATAAAGTGCAGCACTGGGTAAGAGTCCACTTGTTTTCCTGGGAACAGGGAGATAGGGAAGAGCACGGGGAAAGTCCTGGATGCATCAATGGGACCGCAAAGCCCCCCAGGATAGCATTTCCACAGCTGGGCTTTGCTGAGCCCTGGGGTTTCCTGGAGCTGGCACTTACGGTGGTGTGTTCTAGCTCTTTCCCCTGAAGAGCACTGCTGTGTGATCCAGGGGCCAGTGCTTGCCTCAGCCAACAATCCCCCAGAGTCAACTTCCAAGAACTCCAATTTTGAAACCAAAGTGAAATTCGTGCCAGCGTTAAGATCACAGTCAAGACCATTTATTTCTCGGGCTTCTGAGAGTTAGCCGAAGAGTCCAAACATCCAAACATGGATGGACGGAAGGAACCGATGCAAAAAGTCAAGCACCTTCTTCAGCGTGTATGGAGCAGGGACTCCCACCCAGACAGAAGGCACGTGTCAATGACAGCCTGCGTTTGGTCTCCAGTCTGGTTCACTACCTGTCATCGCAGCCGTGGAAGTCTGCTAGAGGTTGTTTCCTCTAATGAGTAGGTTCATTTTTTTGTTCAGTTAGTTTCCCTCAAATACCCTGCATTTCCTGCCATTTTCCACGTACACCATCAAAGCTAGATTTGGTGCCTTTCAAAGTAATTGAGGCTTGAGAACTGGAGTACTCTGTCAGACCTGAAACCAGATCAAAGCCGAGCTCGCCCAGGGCTTTGCAGTGAGAGCTTTTGTCAGTGAAGCAGAGAGAAGAGACCCACACTTGGATTCAGTCTGTCGTCCCCAAACGGGCCCCAGTGCATTCCTTAATGTTCATACTACTTTGCATAGTTTTTAGCACTTATAGGTAGACAACTTATCCTTCTGAGCTGCTCGTGACTCACGTGTCCAAGCTTAGAATGCTAACTGTGATGTGAGCTGTTGTGGGTACACAGCAGGAAATGGAAAACACAGACAAAGGGCTTCAAAAGCAGGGACAGAAGATCCCA